CTCCAGGCCCTATTTGGGGGCCTCCACGGCAGAGACCTCGTCAGCTGAGAGGGTAGCCTGCCCGTGCGTCCCCAGAACTGCCAAATCCTGAGAACCTCTGAACTGGCCTCAGTGGGGAAGAAGGGAGTTTTCTGGTCCCAGCATGCAGGACCTTGGGCACCTCTTTGCAAAGCCCTGGCCTCAAGCAAGGGATCTCTGTAAGCAGACTGGGCCACTGTACTGCGCTGGAAGTCAGCTCCAGCCTTGAATGAAGCCAGAACAAGACAGTAAGAGGAATGTCCTTCTGGACCCCAAAGAAAGTGGCCCAGGCAGGACAGGTGCCAGGAGGACAAGAGCAGTTCCTTGATGTGAGGCGACCATACAGCCCTGCCACCCGGCCAGCCACCCTCCGCTCTGGAGCCCCACGGCAGGCTTCCCTGGAACCCGGGCTGGATCAGGACACCCAGCACTTGGTTGGAATCCAGGCTTCTACTGAAATCCCCAAAAGGGATTTCTTAATGACACACTTCTGGTGAGCTCAGGCCTTCTGAAGCAGCTATAGAAATTAAGAGAAAGCAAACTTTAATTTGAGAAAGGTGTCCAAAAGCATTTTTATAGCCCAGAAACACATCAATCATTGGATCTGGAGCTTCCTGGAATGTTTAACTTCTTCCGGGCTTCTGGGTTTCCAAGGGGAAGGTACTGCTCCATCCCACCCAGTGTGGCCACCTGGAGACCACAGCCCACCTGGAGAAGGGTAAGGTACAAGCAGGAAGCACAGGTGTGAGTGCTTTTGTTGCGCACCTGAGCTCTCACTAGGGGACCCGAGTTCCACTTCTGGAACCATCTTCCCTGCTGGAGAGGACCCACACGGTGCCCGGTGCCTGGAGCGCCCCGCTCAGAACCAGGAAACTCACAAGTTTCCCTGGAGGTTCCTGACCTGACCTGAACTCCTGCAGGTCTGGTTTCGGGCTTGCCTTCCCCACCCCCATGACCTCAGGGACCTCGGGACTCGTCTGTGATGGCAGCCACCACACCAAATACAAATCAGCGGCTGTGTGAGTGGAACGGGAGCCAGGAAGAGTCTCAGCGCTGTCCTCTTCACCACGATTCGGCCATATGGATTCTCAGGGTCTCACCGTCATGGACACAGCGCCTACCTTACAGGAACCTGGGCTGCTTCCAAGAGCCACACTGGGGACAGTCGAGAAGGACCAAACCCGCTGTTCCCGTGTCCCCTGACACCGTGGTGCGAGTGACGGCACCAAAGCCAATATTGTTCCCAATCATCCTTCCTGTCACCTCACGCTACGTGAGCAGATTCCTTGAGGGAGGGTAATTACCACACCAGCAGCCGGTGGAGCGCCCCTCGGGGAGCACATCGCCTCTCGAGAGTGGCTTCCTCACAATTATGCTCTCTACTAGGAATCTATTATATGATCTAGTTTTCCCTCCAAAGACATCATTAATCATACGGTGAAAATGTAACTACAATTGAAAGTACAAGATGTTTTGTTAAACACCATATTCAATGCTGGACGGTCATCTCGCTGTGAGATGTTAAAAATTCTGGGCCTGAGCCCAACGTGGTGGTGCACGCCTGTCATTCCAGCTCTCTGGGAGGCTGAGGCAGGAGGATGACAAGTTGGAGCCTGACCTGAGTGACTCAGCCAGGCTCTGTCTCAAAATAAAAAATATATATATAAAAGGGCTGGGGACATAGCAAAGGCTCTAGGTTCAATCCCAGTACTGAAAAGCGGGGGTGGGCTGGTACCTCCTTCTTAGAAATATCACTATTGATCTATCATCACTTCTCTGAGGGTAGCAGAGCCTCTTTTCTCTGTATGCTTTCTTTAAAATGTTTGTGAGGACTTTAAAACATTCTCATCGCAAGGCCCCACTTGGCCTGGCACTCCTTATTCTAGGAGGAATTGCTGAGAAGTCAGCCCCAGGGGCCGCTGTGTGGTCCTGGGTCTCCTAAATGGGAAGGGACAGCTGAGCCCGGGTTTGGCTCCGACCTCAGGCAAAACCCTTCCTCTCCGGGCTCCTGTTTCTTTCATAGACTCTGCGGGGCAGTCAGAGCAGGTGCCCCCAAAGCTCCCCTGAATGGCCGTGACATTGCCCCTCACTCAGGGACAGCTCAGGGCATCAGGTTGAGGTTTAATAGTTGAAGACAATTAGCCATGTGCCATCGTGGGGAAGCCACCTGAGATGCCAGCGATCTGAAATCGCCACTGTGGGGAGGAAGCTGCACGAGGCAGAGGGTTGTGCCCTTTCCACTTGGTGAAGTCCCTGCGAGGAGCCGGGACGGTCACACAGAGCAGAGGGACAGAGACAGGAAAGCAATAACCCATGTGGGGACGGGGAAGGAGACAGACTCTGAGGACAAGCAGGTGCAGGGCGGGGCGGGGCCCCGTGGGAGAGGCAGGGGGACATCAGCATGTCCCAGGCCCAGAGGAGCCTCCAGGGCAGCAGGCGCCCTGCGTACATTTGTTTTTCCAGTACCTTCTCACTGAGCTACATCCTCAGTCCTTTTTACGACTTATTGTGAAATGGTCTCCCTAAGTTGCCTGGCTCAGCCTTCCAGAGTGCTGGGATGATGGACATGCAGCACCATGCCTGCCGTGGGTGCAGAGTGAACACACACTTTATTGCCTGGGGGCCTCTGAGTGAGGAAACACAGTTCCCAAGGTCAGAGCCCACCCAACACCGCACTCAACTGATGAGAGCACTGGTGAGGACCGCAGTGAGGAAGAAACTCACTGGGGACACGCCAGGCCTCCTGGATAGGGCCTCCGTCACTGCCCGGGGCACCAGAGTATCCAGGAAGGACCTACTGGTCCAGGCCAGTCCCAGGCCTCCACCAGCCTCAGGTTCTGTCTGTTCACTGAGGAGAAGGTGGAAGTCGTAACCATGGAGAGTCTGAAGGTGAGATCCTGAGGACAGAGAGGGACAGGGCACGCGGGAGGCCAAGCAGGGACAGAGAGGATGCTCCTGAGCTGCACAGCCGAGGAGGAGGAGGAAGTCAGGCCAGGCAGCCTCCCTTCACCTGCTGAGAAAACAGCACTGAGGCTGGGGAGCAGCCAGTCTGTCGGTCCCCACTGGCTCCACCACCTCTGACTCACAGGAAATTCCCACAGGAGCCATTTCCGGTTCCTCCCACCCAGCGCACGAGGTTACTGCAGGGCAAGGGTCTGCTCGGTGGCAGAGCCACTGCTGCCATGGAACACGGGGTGACAAGGTGCACAGCTGGCCGAGGCGTGACACTCACAATAGCTGGGCGGGTCCCCGTGTGCTGGGCTTCCTCCGCCCGGGCTCCTGCATGCAGGCCACCCTCCTCTCACAGGACATCCATCTGCTCCCGACCCCTGTGGTGACATCCCTGAGGCCACACGTGGCAGGTGGAGGCCTCACACCGGTTGATATGAACAAGCAAGGCCCAAACATGACAAGGCCCCTGGTTTCCTGCTGCGTTTTTCTTTAAAATCTTTCAAATTGAGAGGGAAAGGCTTAGCACCAATGTGGAATTCCAACAGGCTCAACAGAATGGGCCTAAACTTGAGACTGGCACATTATTCCTGTCCTAACCAAACAGGCTGGCACCCTCTGAAAATGCCCGAATAGGATGACAGGGCTATACAACCAGGCTGGAGAGGGTACAGAACCTGCCCCGGTTGTGAAAACTCAGACCTATTCCAAGCTCCCCGAGCTCACAGGTCCCAGGAGCTGTCTACAATTGTGCAAGGCCTGAGCGCTCGTGCCAACAAGCCCACTGGCTTGGCGCCCAGAGGATGGGAAAACAAAACAGGTAAGAGGGGGAATTAGAAAAAAAAAAAAAGCATATTCTTGGTTGGTCTTCAAAAAGCAGGGTTGAGTCTAGACTCAAATGTTGAGTCCTAAAAAAATAAAGACAATATTCCACTCCTCAGTGACTCCGTGGAAACCAGAGGCCACCCGGACCATGTCTGCCCACCCCCGCAGCTCCCCTTGGAGGTGGGTGACCTGTGTATGCATGCAGTGGATTGCGGGGTTGGAGAAAGGTCCAAGGAGGCAGCAGATCTGGCCAGAAAGAGAATCAGCAACCCAGGGAGGCAAGCACTCCCTTCACTTTCAAAGTCCAGAGTCACAAAGGGTAGGCAAGAAATTCAAGTGCCAGTCTTCTGTCCCCGCCAGTCTGTGTAGAGGCTTTCCAGAGACTCCCTGAGTCTTCTCCCCAGCCACCTCTCTCTTTATTTACACTGATTACTTTGTAACAGTTTGGTTTTCTCTATGGCCCACCAGCACCACCCACCCAAGACTCCTTCCAAGACCCTAAAAGATAAGCGGTTCTCAGAGAGGTCATGCCAGGGCCCCGCTGCTTCTAACACTGGTACCCATGTTCTGTCTCACTGTGGATGGCTGGAATCGCTCCAGCCCACAGTACCTGAGGAGGAGGACCCTCCAGGTACAAAGAGAAGCAGGCACACGCTGACACCACCCAGCCACTGTGGGTTCTTTCTACAGGTGGGGCATCTAACCCCAAAGTGCTCCAAAATCTCACCTTTTTGACACTAACATGACTTCACAGGTAGAACTTTCCATACCTGACCTCAGGTATCAGGTCTCAGTCAAAGCACGTACTTTGTATAAAATCACCATTAGCTCTCCTGTAAGGAGTGTGTGCTACACAAACATCATGTTTACACTTGGGTCTCCCCCAGGATATTTTTTTACGTTCACGCATACACATATTCTCAAAGCTGCAAAAATCCCAAATCCTGACCACCTCTGGTCCCCATTGTTTACGAACAGAGATGTCAACCTGATATTATCATAGCACAGAATTTCACAGTCGCTGTGTGACTTTCGGATCACCCAGGTCAACCTAGGCATTTCCCAGGTGAGAAAAAGCCAGGCATAAAGCAACTGAATAAACTGGCAACAGCACCGGAAGAGAATCTCAGATCACCAACTTCCGGCCCCAGTTTTTTCCTGACAGCCATGGCTTCTTTCTGGCCACCCGCGAAAGCCACCTTCCCTACCTTTCTTCCTCCACCAGGGTCCTTCGGGAACAGAGTAGGAAAGGTCCTTGAACTCAATGTTCACGGCCGCCCTCCGGGGCAAGGAGGAGAAGCGCTGGGCCTCGGTGAGACTGTTGTCCACTTTCCTCAGATGTCCATTCAGCAGGTCCGTCTCTGCGTCGTCCATGCTGCTAGAGACAGCCTCGTCCACCGAGACGCACACGGACTTGGGCTCCGTCATCGTGGCCGAGTAACTGCTGGCATTCTAGAAAGACAAAGAGGAAGCCACAAAGGCGTGTCACAGGGTGCACAGAAAAGGGCATCGAGACACTGGTCATTGGGCTCAGGGTCACCGGTTAGGGACAGCAACGCATCTTACACCGCCAGAGAGGCCCTGTGGCAGCAGAGAGGCGGCGGCCTGCGGGAACTGTCATTGCTGTCACTTTGTTCCTCTACCAAAAAGATGCTTAGATAAAATGTTAGCTGATCCACGGGTCTTACTCTGGCATCATAAATCGAATCACAAAACCAAAATACGTGAATCAGCTACCTCAGTGGGAAGATACTGACCACCATGAAAAGTTATTTACAGTTCACCCATAAAATAACCTCAGTAAAGACACATGAAGCACTTTAGCAATTCGAGGCTGTAAAAGTTTTATTAAACTGAGCTGCTGTAGTGCCTTTCTTGTGTAATCTCGTAACAACTTCACAGGAATGGCAGCATCACGGAGCTGTGTCCGACTTGGAAATTTTCTGAATTGCTCACAAGTCTGTGTCTTCACAAGTCTGTGCCAAAGAGGTGGAAAGGCTCCTATTCTTATTTTTTTTTTTTTTTTGCTATTATACAGAAAGGAAACTGAGGCCCAGATAATTGAAGGGACCTGCTCCAAGGCAACTGAGGAGCACAAGCGATCCCCCTAGTTGAGTCATCAAAACACATGTTAGGCTTAGTCTGCTGCATAAAATCTCGTAACAGCTTCACAGGAATGGCAGCATCACGGAGCTGTGTCCGACTTGGAAATTTTCTGAATTGCTCACAAGTCTGTGTCTTCACAAGTCTGTGCCAAAGAGGTGGAAAGGCTCCTATTCTTATTTTTTTTTTTTTTTTGCTATTATACAGAAAGGAAACTGAGGCCCAGATAATTGAAGGGACCTGCTCCAAGGCAACTGAGGAGCACAAGCGATCCCCCTAGTTGAGTCATCAAAACACATGTTAGGCTTAGTCTGCTGCATGACGGGGTACTTAGCACTTGGGGCCTGGCCAGAGCTTTCTGTTTTCCTCCTTTCACACAGTGTTGGGGACGGGACCCAGGGTCTCACCGGCTCCCACAGCTTCCCCAGGAGTCGGATAAATGGCAGCAGATGGGCCAAGAACCCCAAGGACTCGTGTGAAGACAGCACTCCACCTTTCCAGTGGCTTGGCAGGCCCAGGCGAGTACTGTACTGAACCCTCTGTCTCTGAACTGAGGGAGCACATGCCACAGAGTGTGGGGCGGGCCTCCCAGGGAGCTGGTCCCTCCCCGCGTCTGACCCCTGCCATGCTGGCTGCCCAGAGCTAGAGCTCACTGCAGTTGCTGCCATCTGCTATTTGTATGTTGGACTGTTTCTTCTGAGTTGCTTGCTATTTGTCATTACTTTCCCTTTTCTTATTTTATTTTTTTGAGACAAGTATGTCACTCTGTAGTCCAAGCTGGCCTTGAACTCACTACGAAGCCCAGGCTGGCCTCTAACTCACAGCGATCTCCAGCCTCGGCCTCCTTGAGTGTTGAGATTACAGGCGTGCGCCACCACACCTGGCTCATTACTATTTATCAAAAACCCAAACAAAACAAGATCGTCCATAAAATCCCCACGAACCCCAGCAACTTCCGTGGCCTTCCCTGCACATCAGCATGTACACTGGAGGGCACAGAGCTGACTTGCGGAAGAGCTGGCAGTGGTTCCCCAGTGCTGTTTGAGGGTTACGAGGTCCGGGTCCAAGCTTGAGGGCTCTGGATGTTTAAAACACAAGTGGGGCAGGTAGGAGGCTTTGGCATGGGAATGCTGGGTCTCCTGGAGTTGGAAAACGTCTCTGCATTTAAGAGAAAGATGTGCAAACACACACACACACACACACACACACACACACCCCTCACAGGCATCTCCTACATCTGAAAGACCTCACCGGAGCAGAACTTGGTCATGGGCCACAACCCCGTGTGAATGCACCGCTGGTGCTGCAGAGGGAAACTCCCCTTCTGGTGAGCCGCAGCACCGGCCTCCCCGAGTGCACACTGCTTCAAATGCGACATAAGCGGGGGTCACACGTCCCGGACCAAACCAGTCTGTGTCCCTTCTGGAGGACTCGTGAGACTCTGCAGGCAGCGTCTGTTTCTGCTCCAGGCCCTCGGTGCTGGGGCTCTGGCTGAGATCACCCTGCACCTCAGAGATGGGGCAGGAACGCTGCCTGCCCACCCTGCCTGGTGTTTGGGGCCTAGGGCTTAGAGCCCATGTGGACCCCAAAGCCCGAGAAGCACCAGGTCCTGGCTTTGGAAGTAGGGGTGTCAAGGAGCAGTGTGGCCATGTGGTCAGCTGGGGCCAGTCCCACGGCCATCCCAGCCACCTGCTTGCCTCGGAAGCAGGGAGACAAAGTGCTGACCCCAAAGAGCCACGCCTGCTCCGACCCGGGACCTCAGGGCTGGATGTTCAGAGGCGGTGGGGGCTGATCCAGCAGCTCTTGCACCTGTCGGGCTCCAGCTGCGGTGGACATCTACCCTCCCCACCAACCCCCACAGGGACCCAGCCTCTGGGAGAGCCAGGGGTGGTGCCCTTCCTTCCACTACAGAAACCCACAGGAAGCCAGGGATGAACAGCACCACCCAGCCAGCCCACCGTGGTGGCAGATTCCGGGCACCAGACACGTCACAGGCGGGCTTCCTTTCCCCCAGACTCCAAGCCCATCTGGTCCCTCACGCACACACAGGGACAAATAGCGCCAAACAAAGCCGGGCAGCCACACTGGCAACCTCCGGCCTCTGCAAAGTCCAGTTCTAGATTAGCCCACGGGCAAGAAAGGGGCAAGCACAACAGGTGAAGCAAACACCAAGTGGGGGAAGAAGCCGGGTGCAGAGCAGAGCCTGGGCTGCAGAAGCACAGTCATGGCTGAGAGGAGCCAGGCACCGAGGCTGGGCAGGGGCACGGTGGCCTTGACCTGTAAGCGCTAACGGGCACGGAGGCAAGCGGAGGAGCCTCAGGTGCACAGCCGGTCACCAACCTGCTTCAGGGCGAGACAGGGCAGCCAGAGCCGGGAGCTCACAAGCCTTAATGAAGGATGCCTGGCACGCCAGGTGACTGCAGACAATAGCGCCCATTGAGTCAGCCTTACAACACACCTGTTAAACACAGCTTGTGCAGACTGAGCCTCTCTATCTCCACAGCTCTAACGGGTGGGTGTGGGTGCAGGAGGGAGGTGACCGGCTCCAGGACAGAGCCAGGGAAGGGCCGGGTGGGGTCCAGCCCTGCCAGTCTTGAGACTGACACTTGGGACTGCTCAGCTCTCTGCGGCAACGTGTGGGTGGCTCTGGGTCACGCGCCCCAGAAAAGGCCTCAGCACACTGCGGGGACCACGCAGCCCCAGTCCCCTGCAACCCCAGCCCAACCTCCTCCACAGCGTCCAGTGGCCTCACCCAATTAACAGAATCACAAAAAAATGTGTGATGGGAGGCAGTGACCTGTCACTCCAAAATAGACCAGCTCTCGGGAAACATCCTCGAGCCGAGCTGCCGGCAATGTAGGTTACAACGAGCTTTTCCTTAGCCTCCTGAGCTCATTACCAGTACAGCAGACACCTAGTCCTCCTGTTTTTCTCTCTCACCCATGTTTTCTGATCCTTCCAAGGTGCTGCCTTTGATCCCTCCCAAGGCACAGCCATTGTGAGCATGCGGTGGATGGTAGATAGCAGCTCATTCCTGAGGCTGTACGTGGAGGGGATCCCACCACTGAGCAAGTTCTGCTGGGTGCAGGGCAGAGTGGCGCGGGGTTCAATTGGAACACAGCTGGTGGGGAGGCTGGTGGGGCCAAGAGGGCCTGGGGTTCCCGTGAGCCAGCACGCTCAGGCCACTGTGAGACCCCTTTGCTGAGACAGTCAGGAACTTTTCCTCCATGCATCCCGGGGAAAGGAGGAAATGGGAGGAACTGTGCTAGCTTGAGGGCCTCTCTTATGTCTGCTTCATGCTGCCCGCTAAGGTACCCACCCACACCATGGCTCTGTGGCAACCCAGCCACATCAGATGAAAATGTGCTGGACCCATAATCTTCATGCCGACTGCTCACAGGATAGTGACCAAGCCGTCACTCTGAGCTGCGTCCCAAGGCAGACTGTGCTGCAGTGGCCTCTGGTCACCTGTGCCTACTGAGCACGCACCTGAGGCCAGGGACCTCAGCTGCTGTCCCAAATGCCCTGTCTCTCTCAGATCAGCACCAGTGAACCCAGGCAGGGAAGGATGGAGAAGCTGGGTCAGTTCTGGGTGTTTGTCAGGGTCTCTTTGCATAGAATTTTTATAAATTTCAAAACTTGTTTTTCTTTTATGTGTACAGCATCCACTATTTCCAACTGGTCTCCTATGGTAGTTCTAGCTGACCCAACTCTGCTTAGCTTGAGAGGCAGAGTTTTGGGTGGCATACCCATAGAAAGACACACTCCCAAATTCCAAACAAAACAAAATAAAACAAACAAACAGAAAAACCACTAAGTTTTCCAGAAGGAAAATGATTCTCAAGCAAAACAAGCTTCCCTGAAAAAACAGTCTTGTCAATTAGCATCTCCAAGTGAGAAGAAAACACACGCACTCTGGAGCTGTATGAAACTGTAACATAACATTTTTTCTGTATGAAACTGTAACATAACATTTTTTTTAAGTATAAAGAATCTGTGTCTTAAAAACATTCCTTGGGCCGGGGATTTAGCTCAGTGGTTCCGGCCACCTGCCTCACAAGCGCAAGGTCCCAAGTTCGATTCCAGGTACCAAAACAAAACAAAACAAAAAGTCCAATTCGTTCATCCACACCTACCAGCCAGTTCTGTGGTCATAAAAAAGATCACAAGTTCCCCTGAGCTTTAAAGACCCAGAGTTGCCTCTACATGCAAAAGACACCAATAATCTTAATTTTCCACTGCCAGCATGATGCAGAAATCCAAAGTAAACGAACAAGTACAAAGGGAAGAATTTCTCAGCTGTTACCCATCCCTTCAACTAGATAAAGCAAATGGCATCAGGCG